AACTTCGCTATGAAAAAGTAATTTTTAGACAACTTCGCCGAAAGCTCAGCTTTTTAATACTTAATGTTTAACCATTCCCTAAGTACCGTCGAAAATCACTAAAAAAATTCTTTTGTTAATTTCAATCTCCACCAGATGGTCCCAATTTTTCGAAACTTCCTACCGTTTTTCCAGAAGCGCCAAAATGAAACATAACTATATCTTTTTGATTAAAAAACTCGATTTCTTCAATGACCTTTTTTTGAACACCGGCAAAAATTACCAAAAGAATTTAATTTTTCGACATCGACCTCAAAATATATTTGCTTAAAATCTAAAAAGAAAAAACAAATCGATTTTGAACGAGTATTTTCTTTAACCAGAAAATGTTACATCCAATTCCCCAATAACCAAAAATACAAAACTTTTGCTACTTTTTATTCCTTTTTCTTCTGTTTCTTGAAAATCTCGTCCACTGGCATGTAGCTGTTGCACTTATCTTTATCAGAGCATTGGTAGCACGCCGTCTCCTTGGATTCGTAATTGTCTGTTATACTTTTGCAAAAGTCCTTGTAGCCGTCACCTAAACACACAGCGAATACTTCATCCTTGCCCTTTTCGCCGTATACTGCGCAGTCGGAATCGGCGTCATCGCACTTTTGTTCTTTCATATCGTCTTGGTTTTTACAAGGATTCTCACAGATATAACACTCTTTTACGGCGCTAACTAATAATAAAAAATAATAATAATAATTGTTGTTTAATAACAGATTAAAGAACTTACTCTTCGGAGCCCAAGACACAACTAAAACACACAGGAAAGTAATCTGGCACGTTTTCATCGTGGAAGAGAATTTTCTTTAGTGGTGAAGTTAAAAACTGTGGGTTTGTTTATATACCAGCTGTTATCACATTTTTCATAAACGCGCAAAAACAAACGAATGTTTTTCGATACTTCTACTATATCGCTTATTTATATGTATATGACTCACTAATTGATTTCCAGTAGGTACTTCAGCTTGCACAGGCGTCGAGTAATCACTTGTCGTGTATGTCAAGGCGCGACCTTGAATGGCGTTCGAACGCAGTTGTGTTTGCCGCTTTGTAGTAATTATATTATATGGAAAAAAAGATAATGACGAAACTTTAGCAATCTAAAGACTCATTTGATAGAGTGAAAATAGAATAGAAATTTTTGGCGACTACGTTTTTCCGGAATCGCCCAAAATATACATATTCTTAAGAAAAACGATACGATTAATCAGTACTTTCGACGTTCGTCTGCAATCTTGGTTTGGGACCAAGACCTATGTTTTAGATTCAGAAATATACTCAATATGCTCAATTTTTCGACAGGTATGTAGAACTTTTTGATCTTTTCCTGAACATTTTTCCAAATTTAACGTTGGTTTCGAGTTCCGGAACTTTACGGCTTTATTTTTTCGGAAAATTATTTAAACAAAAATAGTCGTAGGTTATTTCGACGGAACTTCTCTCGCCTCTAAAAAAACCCTCTTCTTTGAAAAATTATAAAATTTTTGGAATTTTTTTTTCTGATAGCTTCTATAAAGTAAAAACCAGTGGCGCAAATAATACTCTGGCAGATTTTAACTTGAATTTATCAATTCTTTAATTATTCATTTTTTTTGTTTCTTTAATTTTTCGAGTTCTCAATATTAAATATTTTTCTAATTTTGAATTTAGCAATTTTTAAATTTTACAATTTTCCGATTTGAGTTTCTCGAGTTAACATTTTTCGTTTTTTTAATTCTTGGTTTGTTCAGTTTTTCGATTTGCCAACTTTTGGATGTTTTAGTTTCTGGATTTTGCAATTTTTCGATTTGCAATTTCACAAGTTTTCAATTTTCGATTTTTCGATTTTTCAGTTTTTCATTTCTTCAGTTTTTCACTTTGCAATTTTTCATTTTAGTTTTTTATTTTCTTCATTTTTTCATTTTTCCTGTTTCCCGGTCTTTGATTTCATAATAATTTTTCTAGACGGATGGGTCGGGCTTCTCTTTTGGTTTTATTTTTTTAATTAATACTTAGTTTTCTTTGTGTAACAATATTACTTAAGAACATATTTCACATGGTTTTAATTTCTCGTAGAAAAATAAGAATTTTACAATTAAGCTCCGCCCCTCGGCTTACGGCGAATAAAAAAAATTGAGAAGGGGTGGGTGGGGCTTATATTTTGCCTTTTTGTCTTAATATAAATACCCATCTTTTCATAAAGAGAAACTTAAAAAAATGGTTCTTGCAAAGAAATATGGTCTGCCAACTAATGAAAACTCCATTACTGTTTAGATCAGGGTAGGTATGGGTGGGGCTTAATCTTTGGCTTTAATTTTTTCTTAATATACATAGTATTCTTTAAATAACATGATACTCAAAAAATGCCTTACATGGTAGGTAAGTTCTTGTAGAGAGATGTCCGCTCCTTTGGCTCTCGATGATTAAAAAAAATCATCACAAATGAGATAGGGCGGGTGGGCGGGGCCTGTATTTTGCCTTTTTTCTTAATATACGTAGTCGTCTTTTAAGAACAAGAAACTTAAAACATGTTTAAAATAGTAAATTCTTGTAGACAAATGTGGATTTTGTAATTAAGCCCCGCCCCTCGATCTGACAACGAATGAAAAATTCATCACAATTGAACATTGAGATCGGGGCGGGTATGGGTGGGGCCTAATCTTTGGCTTTAATTTTTTCTTTATATACATAGTATTCTTTGAACAACACGATACTCAAAAACATGTTTTTAATTTCTCGTAGAGAAATAACGATTTTGCAGTTAAGCTCCGTCCCCTTGGCTCACGACGAATTAAAAAAAATCATCACAACTGAGATCGGGCGGGTGGGCGGGGCTTCATTTTACTTGTTTTTCTTAATACCTATGTGTGGGTTTATTTCGACAACAAGAAACTTAAAACATATCTAAAAAGTCAATTTTTGGAGAAATCAACTTAAATCCTCCACTTTTCTTCTACAACCTCTTTAAATACGGCAAAAGTTTAACATCAAAGTTACTATCAACGCCAACTTGGCAACAGAGTTGATGAATGACAATTAATTCCAGAAGTTTATTACCGCTTCAATTTTTGCAAAACGCCTACTATTCTTCTAGAATCAATTACAATTTTTGGGATATATACGGAAATTTATTTTTGAAATCGCATATTTCGAGCACCGTCAAAAATTCGAAGGAATTTTATTTCTTGACCTTTAAAATCACCCTTTAAAATCGCAGCCCCTTTCGATTCCTTAAAATATTTTTGCCAAAGTTCTAAAAAAAATAAAACAATTATGAAGATGTGTTATTTTAATTAGAAAAAATCTAATTGATGTGCAAACAGTTACGCAATAACTAAAATTACAAAACTTCTTGTACTCTTTAGTCCTTTTTCTTCTGTTTCTTGAAAATCTCGTCGAGTGGCATGTAGCTGTTACATAGATCTTTATCAGAGCATTGGTAGCACGCCCTGTCGTAAGATATAAAGTCGTCTGTAATTTTTTCGCAAAAGTCCTTGAATTCACTACCTATACATCCAGCCTCTTTGAAATTGATTTCCAGAACTCCAGCTCGCATAGGCATCGAGTATTCACTTGTCGTGTATGCAAACGTGCGACCTTGATTGACGTTCGAACACTGTTGTGTACGCTATGAATTAAAGCGACCTTGATGCTCTTTAACTGTTAGACTAATTTGAAAAAGTAAAAATAGAATTGCCTGCAATTTAGACAACTTCACCAAAAGCTCACTTTTTGTCAATGAATTAAATAAAATGTTTGATCTTGACAGTCAAAAAGTACCAAAATAATTCCTCATATATGTCGAAAATCGGGGTTCCCATGTGCTGGGGACAGTTTCCAAGGAACAATTTTTCTAAGACCAATTATTATTCACTAGACGGTGGACAATTTATAAAAATATCTAATGCCTCACTGTTTGAACGTGAGGAAAATACCGTTAAAAACAAACTATCATAAGCGAACGATAACGAGCAATTGTGGGCTCATCGGCTTGATAAGTATAATTGTCAATTGTTATAACTACCTAGCGCTTAAATGATATGATACTATGCAACTAAAATGATAACAAATATTATTTAAGAAAAAATTGATCCAAGGTTATTTCGACGGAACTTCCCTAGCCTCTGAAAAATCCCTTTTTTTTGAAACATTGACATTTTTGGAATTTTTGTTTTCTGATAACCTCTATAAATTAAAAACCAGTGGCGTAAATAATACTCGGGCAGTTTTTTTTAGCTTGAATTTTTCAATTCTTCAATTTATTAAAAAAATATATTTTTCCAAATTCTAAAAAAATTAAAACAATTATGATAACTAAATAGTATAGCTAGTATCAGCTAAAATAAGATTGATTTTGGTAAATGATATATCTTCTAAGAACAAAAAGGGTGGGTGGGCGGGGCTAAAACTATAACAAAACTAAATTTGGTCCCGCCCACCTTCTTTCTCCCTTTCACTGACTTATTTTATTTAGTTTAAAATGGAAATTGCAAAATAACGGTATTGCATTCTCGAATTTTTTTGCGAAAATGGAGTAAAGCCGTTCCTGATTTAACCAATAAAATTGACTGATTCATTAATTGTTTTGAGTGATCCTGTATTAGCAAATCTAAAAAATGAGATTCTTAATATGATCAATAAAAAATTGGTCTAAGGCTATAAGTATAGTCCGATAAATACAGCTTTTTAAAAAAAATATAAAATTTGCTTTTACGATTTTCGTTTTGTGATAACGGCTGTAAAGTAAAAACCAGAAACATAAATAACACCCTTTGTTCTTCAGCAGTAGGTAATAGCAATCTGAAACTCAAGTGTTTATTTATGTTAATACATCGAAAGAATGTCACCTAGAAGTTAGTTTGATTTGAATGAGTTTATTTTCTTAAAACAAGACTAAAATTATTAATTAAACCACATTCCAACAAAATGTTCTGAATATAATAAATTCGATTTTGAACAAGTATTTTCTTTAATCAGAAAATGTCGTTACATCCAATTCCCCAATAAACAAAAATACAAAACTTGTGTTAATATATCTTTAGTCCTTTTTCTTCTGTTTTTTGAATATCTCGTCCACTGGCATGTAGCTGTTGCACTTATCTTTATCAGAGCATTGGTAGCACGCCGTGTCCTTAGATTCGTAATTGTCTGTTATACTTTCGCAAAAATCCTTGTAGTCGTCACCTAAACAAACAGCGAATACTTCATCCTTGCCCTTTTCGCCGTATACTGCACAGTCGGAATTGGCGTCATCGCACTTCTGTTCTTTCATATCGTCTTGGTTTTTACAAGGATTCTCACAGAGGTAGCACTCTTTTACGGCGCTAACTAATAATAAATAATAATAATTGTTATTTAATAACAGATTCAAGAACTTACTCTTCGGAGCCCAAAACACAACTAAAACAAACAGTAAAATAATAATCTGGCACGTTTTCATCGTGAAAAAAAAAACTCCAGTAGCGAACTTAAAAACGTACTTATATACTAGCTGTTATCACAGTGTTTACATTTTTACTTGAAAATGTGTGCGATATCGCAGGGAAGGTCTACATTTCTTACAATTTTAAAATTTAAAACAGCTCAAAATGACATTTCCTTGAAACTTTACGCGATGATTTCTTTTTTTTTTTTTGATTTTCATGTTTAACAAATATTTATTTTGACGTTATTCTAGTCTTTTGTGTTACGTAAGCGACAACTATTATGCGACAGATATGCAAAGAAAATAGTTTGTGATAGCAGTTAATAAATTATAGATGAGAGTTTAGCAATGTAAAAAAAATCGAAAAAGCAAAAATAGAATTGCTTGCCAAAAAAAAACAAATGTATTCGAAAATCGGGGGACAGGTTTCAGGAAAAAAATGATGATTTTTAAGACCAATTCTAGTTATTTAAAAATTCGAATATGCTCCAGTTACATATTGTAGACGGTGGAGAATTTATTATAATATTTATTAACATCCCACGCTTTTAGCGTAAGGCAAAAACCGTCAAAAACACTGTCAGACGAACGATAACGAGCAATTATGTTTTGATAAGTTTAAATTCTATAAAAAAAAAAAAACACCAGGGGACTTCGACTCATTCATTTTTTTTTCTTCGAGCAAAACATTTTTCCGATTCTTATAAAAACACAAGGGGTCACCAAGATTATTGTAAATTCTTAAAAAACAACAATAGGAACCTCCGAAATCTCGTCAATTTCTTTCAAAAACAAAACACCAGAGGCATCCTGGATTTTTTTAATTCTGTAACAAGACACACCACAGGGTCCTGAGACTCTTTTAAATAAAAAGAATACTAGAAGCATTCGAGACTATTTTTAAAAAATTTCAAAAAAAAACACTGAGAATCAAATTTTGTAAGTATTAAACGTGATGGAGAACATGAAATTAGTGCTATTACTGTAACACAAATGCTACAAAATAAGAATTGTGTTTGACGGAAATATGTATTAAAATACATATTAAAATAAGTGCATAATTATAAACTATTAGTTAATTTCATTTTTTTGATTTTATATTTTCTGACATAAATTTTTGAAATTTGTTAGGTAATGACTTAATATTAACTAAACTATAGAAGCATGTTGTTTGATAAAATTTTGAAATGGCGTCATCAAATTATTTACGTGGATGCAACGGAATTATTAAAAAAAACAAATATGTAGACCCACAAAGACTTCGGATTTCTTTCTTAATTTTTTTTTACTCGGTCGTGGTTGCAGCCCCCGGCGCCAATTTTTCAATGAATCAGTAGTCAGGGAACGTCTGCGCCCCCGCCGCTCTCCCCCTCATAAAGCGAGGTGTCGCTAATTTGTACAAAGTGCAAATTTTATCCGTATCCAATTTGAAGCGTCGAAAACACCCGCCCTCCGCCACTTAGCGCCGTTTGAAGTCTCTAGGGCTCTCTTTTCGGTTCCTGGCTCGTACTAAGTAAGTTGTTTTAATATTTAATATACACATGCATATTTATGAAGACTTTTTTAGTTGACGCGTACGTATAAAAGTGACACTACAAGAGCATGCTAATGACTTATAAGCGGCAAAAGCTCAAATGTGACGGGGGGCGTTTTAAAGCAATTTCATCGAGTAATCACTTTTGCTTTGATTTAGCTTTGCGGAGCAGAAGTGGACGACGTTTCGGAGGATGTGTGTCTGTTATAATCGGATAGAAAAGTTCGAGCCAACTTTGACGGTAAACATATTACTGCTTCCGCTTTCCCATATTCAAATGACATAACTCAACCTGTGGCAAGGCTGCAGATGGAAAATGGGCCGAAAAGATAAATATGGAGCGGTCGGACGGGACTTATTCGAAGAATGTTTTTTATAGGAAAAGGGATTCTCAAATGCGACGGAATAAAGATAATTTAAGTTTAGAGAAGCAGGGGCGGCTCGAGAACTTAACTTATGTTAGGAATATCACGTGGGTCAAACGCTAAACAAAATTGGAATAATCATCCCAACCAATAATAAGGTGACGTCATCTCCAAAAATCATCATCTCCCTCGCATGTATTTTATGGATTCGTGTTCAGTTTTTTCTCAACATTCAGATTTTTGGGAAAATAATCAAAATTTCAAAACTTTGAAATTGAAAAATCGAGTCCTCTGGAATTTTGTAAACGTTTTAATGATATCATACTTAGCATAATCATTTTGCCGAATAAATCCTGTCTGAAATATGTGAAACCTTGTGACCCAAAAAAATCAATAAATGAGGCAATTTATTCAAAATCAATAATGGTGAACTTTATTTTTCCAAATATTTGGGAATAGAGTACTGTTATTATTAGTGTAAGACTGTATCTATCCGAATTTACGTGGCCTTGGAAAAGTGTTGGTCACAAAAAAAAAACACTAGTATGTTTCTTCATAAAATAATTAAAATAAGAAATTCAAATTATAATTTTTTTTGGTATCATTTCCTTCAATTTTTCAACTTCTCGATTTTTCAATTTTCCGTTTCTTCAGTTTTTCAAATTCATTTTCCCCATTTTTTAATTTTCATTTTCTCTATTTTTTTCCATGCTTGTTTGGATTTTATAATTTTTCGTTTATTCAATTTTTCAAATTTTCAGTTCCTAGGTTCCCAATTTTTTAATTTTTCAACTTTGACATTTTTTACAGTTATACAAATATATTTGGTTTTTCCGATTTTGCACTTTGTCGATTTTTAAGTTTTTCAGTTTTTATATTCCGATTTTTCAAGTTTTCGTTTCTTTAATTTTTCAAGTCCTTGATTTTTATTTTCATTTTCCCGATTTTTTTATTTTCTTCTTCTCAAACTTAATATCACAAGTCTTCGTTTTTTCTTTTTTCTTTTTTCGTTTTTCATTTGTTACTTTTACAATTTTTCCGTTTTTTTTATTCGAAAAATTGAAAAATCGCAAAATTGCAAATCGAAGCACTGAAGAAACGAAAAATTGAAACACTGAAAAACTAAAAATAGAAAAATTAAAAATCCAAAAACTGAAAATCGATAAATGGAAAAATCCAAAAAAAGAAAAATTTCACTTTGAAAAAATAAAAATTATAAAATCAGAACATTGGGAAAACCGGAAAATTGAAAAAATAAAGAAGATAAAACACCGAAACGAAAAATTGCAAATCGAAAATTGAAGAAATGAAAAATTTAAAAATTTAAAAATAAAAAATCAAAGCATGGCGTAAAATTAAGGAGTCAAAAAAAATTAAAATTTACAAATCCAAAAATTGAAGAAACGACAAATTGAAAAAATTGACGAAAATTATAAAATTGAAACATTGAAAAATCGAAAAATTGTAAAAATGAAGAAAATGACAATCGAAACGGAAAATGGCAAATCGAAAATTTGAAGAAATGCAAAATTAAAGAATCGAAAAATTAAAAAATTAAAATAGAAATATGTATTTTAAATCGGATTATTAAACGAACGAAAGTTTTCAATTTATACCTTTTCATTTTTTTCATTTCTTATTTTGCAATTTTACAATTTTACAATTTTTCCATGTACCGAAATAATTGGAAAATTAAATATCGAGAAAATGAAAAACCGAATAATTGAAAATGTGAAAAATTTTTAAAATGAAAAATTTTTAAAATGAAAACTAGAAAAAATGCAAATCAAAAATTGAAGAAACGAAAAATTGAAAAATCTAGAAAATGAAAAATTTAATTTGAAAAAACGAGAAATTAAAAAAATCAACAAACTGAAAAAGGGAAAAATTGAAAACCGAAACATTGCAAAACGAAAAATCCAAAAATTCTAAAATTTCACATTGAAAAATGAAAAACGAATTCAGAGGGATTAAAGGAACAAAAAAAAAAATGAAAAATTGAAAAATTGCAGATCGAAAAATTGAAGAAACGAAAAATGGAAAAATTAAAATTGAAAAAACAAAAAACTGTAAAACTGAAACATTGAAAAATCGAATAACTTAAAACAAAAAATTGTAAAATTGAATCATTGTAAATAGAAAACTCAAATCGAAAAATTGTAAATTCTAAAAAGTGTAAAATTCAAAATTTGGAAAATTGAAAAACCGAAAAATTTAATCTTGAAAAACCGAAAAATTGCAAATGGAGGCGCTGAAGAAAGGAAAAATTGAAACACTGAAAAAATAAAAATACAAAAATTAAAAATCCAAAACCTGAAAACCGAACAATTGCAAATCGATAAATTGAAAAATCCAAAAAAAGAAAAATTTCACCTTGAAAAAATAAAAATTATAAAATCAAAACATTGGGGAAACCTGAAAATTGTAAAAATAATGAGAATAAAAACCGAAACGAAAAATTGCAAATCGAAAATTGAAGAAATGAAAAATTGAAAAATTTAAAAATAAAAAATCCAAGCATGGCGCAAAATTAAAGGGTCAAAAAAATGAAACACTGAACATTTCCAAATCCAAAAATTGAAGAAACGACAAATTGAAAAAATTGACGAAAATTATAAAATTGAAACATTGAAAAATCGAAAAATTGTAAAAATGAAGAAAATGACAATCGAAACGGAAAATGGCAAATCGAAAATTTAATCTTTAATTTTTAATCTTTAATCTTTATTGATCATTCTACAGGTAAAAACTCAGTCACAAAATTTGAAGAAATTCAAAATTAAAGAATCGAAAAATTCAAAAATCAAAATAGAAACATTTTAAATCGGATTATTAAAGGAGCGAAAGTTTTCAATTTATACCTTTTCAATTTTTCATTTTTTATTTTGCAATTTTACAATTTTACAATTTTTCTATGTATTGAAATAATTGGAAAATTAAATATCGAGAAAATAGAAAACCGAATAATTGAAAACGTGAAAAATTTTAAAAATTATTATTATTACATATTTAAAATGAAAACTAGAAAAAATGCAAATCAAAAATTGAAGAAACGAAAAATTGAGAAATCAACAAAGTGAAAAAGGGAAAAATTGAAAACCGAAACATTGCAAAACAAAAAATCC